GATCTATATATATATAGATCTATATATATATATTATAAAATATATTTTTTTAAAACACTATACATTCCCTTTAAATGTCTCTTTCTGAAAACTAAGTACACGTTATGTTTTTGAGATAAATGTGCCAGTATTCACTTCAATAAAAGCTAGTGCAATTTTTGACTGACATCTCTGACAAAGGGCCATTTTCTTTTTTACTTTCCAACACATCATGAACTATAAGTATTGAGTATGTGACATCAAAACAAAGATCACAATTATGATTTTGAATTAAACATATTAATCAGATGTCACTCACAGGCTCAGCATGTTTCTAGTCTTTCGTATTTTTCTAGACAAATGACAAATGTGAAGAAGAGAGCCAGAGAGAAAGCTTGTATTTGGTTGCAGGTGCTTTACTTACCCTGCAGGTGCATGTTGTGCAGCTGTCATGCATAAAAGTGGAATGATTGTCGTAGACATCACTTCGAAAAAGGCAGCTGCCAGATGGCAGGTCAAACACTTTTCTTTGGCCTAAAATAAGTTTGAAAATCTTTTTAAAATTATGGTGCAAGTACAAAATATTCCCTGTTAAAATTCAGTCCAAAATATTAGCAATGTGTTTTAATGTGCCACTTGAAAGGTAAATGATTTAATCTACTGTATATTATTGCTCCTATAAAACCTTATTTTTTCAGCAGAGCTACATTACTATGAATACTGAAAGTGCTACACTACATTGTTAAGTAAATCCATGACTATAGAAATATAATCAATAACTTGTGTTCACCCTGAGCCTAACTTGTTACTGGCCTGAATAAAGTATACAGGATAGTAACACACTAGTTAAGTAAAGCATATCAAAACCCAACAGCAAAAATGTAATATATTCCAGCTTACCAATTCTTAGATGTGGTGGCTGCCATAGTTTTCTTTTTTTAATACATTTTCCTTTGATTTCACCCCATAATCCAGCCAGTAAGTCTGTTATTTTTCAACTTCTTTTAACAGACCAGTCTGTCCAGCAAAAGGGGCAGGTAGAGGGTTGAGAAAAAACATTTATTACTAACAGGGGTGCCTACAATGGTCAGTTTGTATTCATTTATTTAATTATGTAAAACCTTTATCCCGAAAGGAAAGCAAAAATACTGTTGCTGCCTGATGAAAAGGAAAAAATAATAAAAAAAAGAAAATTAAGGCAGTCACCAAATTTAAGGATTGGTGAACTGCAATAAATTACATTTTGTTTTTGGGTTTAGATACACTTGAAGACAGAATTAGGATAGCAAAACAGTAACCTGCACTTTTAAAGTGAGTCTGTCAATACAGAAGTACAGGGGCTGCCTTAGCCAGCCTCCTTCTAAAAATGATAGTTATTTGGTTGTATATTTTTAAGTCACAGATTGGCGACAAGCATGCAGTGTATGAGTGTCAGAAAAGCATCAGAATTCTATAAGTCTATAAGGGCTCATGTACAAAACCATACAATACCTTGCATTCACATCCATAATTTATACAGATGTGAATGCAGCAGTATTGTATTCTATGGGCCCATGTACAGAGTTGCATGAAGCTCTTTCATCTCAAAACGTTTGCATCCAAGGTTCAACATATGGTCTATTATTTTATGCTGTATGCATGCAAAAACATTTGTGCTAACATTTCCATGCGTACAGCACAAATGCACTCTACTGGAGCAGAAGAGCCATCTGCGTCCTAGCAATAAAGGATGCTAGGCGGCTCAGCAAGAGCTGCCTGTGTCCTAGCAACTATTAAGACCAATTTGCTGTACGCATGTAAAGTTAGCACAAATGTTACATGCATACAGAGTACAGACACGATTTTATGTAGGATCTTGCTGCAAGCAAGGTCTATGTAAAATTACATGTCTGTTTGTATAAGGCCTATGTTCTGGGTCAGCGACTCAAACATAATGAAAGCCAAAACAGTAGCATGACACATTCCACAGAGCTAGCATTATCAAACTGAGAGCTTAGCAATGGCGGCTTTCAAAATTGCTCATAACATATCCCCTTTATAATAAACCGCAAAGGCAGCTTCTGTATGCTACTGTACTGGTAGCTGCTAGTACTTAATGCAAATTCCTTTATAATATGTTGGGTCCTTGATGCTGAATACCTTACAACTGGAAAGATTTCACTTTATATATGTGTATTGCTTATTGAACGTTGTTCATATATTGTTGCAGTTTAACTCTGTGTATAGGTATCTATGCCAGATAAATTAATCTTGAAAATACAAATGTACAACTGCTCCTTGTGCTGATCTCCACACCACAACAGAACATAGAAGTGATGTAGGGGTCAGTAGGTGGACTTTGAGGGATGATTCCTCATTATCAAAGCAGTATTGAGCAGCACAGATACACTTCAAAATTAATTTTTGTGAGTTTCTTTAATGCAAACGTGACTTTCTTCAGGCATAGCCTTGACACCTGTCTGAAGTGCTGGATAATAAGCATCTCCCTTTTGCCCATTTGCGTTTCTTTCTATAGTGTCCCCAAAGGCTTCATATCCAGAGTTCTCTATAATTGATGTTGCGATCAGAGCCTATATGGCTGCCTACATGCCAAATATCCCTTCCTATTGGCCACTGAGACCACCTATCACATTTGCTGGCTGATAGGAAGGGCAGGACTTACAGTGGTCATGCAGTTTCTTGATGAAATGTTTTTGATTATAGAGCATACTATGATTTAGTGCTCTTGTCGTGTTGTCCAAATAAACAAATTACATGTGCAGAGCAGCAAATAGTAACACCATGCTTCAGCTTTGTTGGTTATGTTCCACATACAGTATTTACAGAATCTTAGTAATTATAATGCTTTCCTTGCTTTGCTTTACTTTTTAAAACATGCCAGCCTGTATAGGTCTGGGCCCTATGTTCACATGCCACAGCTCTGTATCTCACCATTAATACACTCACCCCTAGCATCAAATTGGGACATAGGAAGGCTCAGTTTGTGTTATGCTACATTGTAGTGAATATTTGGCAACATGGTGAAAAAGCTGTTTTCCTGTATCCTAGGTAGGGGCTAGAAGTGGATATCAAGGACGAGATACAAAACCAACACAAAACCAATACTGGCAGCCTGGTTCTACCATGGCTTGGTCCAAAACAAAGATAATTCATTGTGATTAACAAGCTGATCCAGATGTTTTAGGTTAGTCATGCTTTTTACAGTGCAAAACTACTAAAAGAAAAATGAAAACATTATGTGCATGACTGAATTCCACAGTTTGTACCTGAAGTGCTAAATCAAAAGAAGACCACCGACGAGATCAACAAAAACAAATAAACCAACCAATTTAAAAATAACACCACAACGCAAAGACATCAAATATAGTGTTAAACAAGAAAGTAAATGCAATGCTTGTATACAGCTTTGATAGAAATTGTGAACCCCTATTTCCAAACAAACCGAATCAAAACTTCACCTATTAAACCATATCCATAAATCACATGAATCATTACAGATGTGCATGAGAGAGTGCCATTATTCAAGGCAATTCAGACTGTGCAGTTTAAAGAACTGGGTTTTTTTTTCGAATGAAAAAACAGAATCCATCTAACAAATTGTGTAACAGATTTAAATGTATAGATTTACTAAAAGAGTAGTGAATGTTTGTTAGGCAATGTTAATGTTTTCTAATACTCACTCATCTAGAATTGAAGAAAAAGATTTTGCCTTTTACATATTTGGATGATTAGATATTAAAATCACTCTTTTGTTTTTAAATAGTCCCCCAGCAACTGAAAAATATGCAGCGCTGTCCTCTACAGACTCATCCTCTCTGTGATCCGCCACCAGTTCATTTACTTACTCAACCAACTTCCTGTGAGTGCAGGGTGTCATAAGCATTACCAGGTAACCAGGGTCGCCATCTGTCATTACACACTGAGAACCCGGAGAGGCTGTTGTGATATCATAGCGGCCCCACCGGGTTCTCAGTGTGTAATGACAGATGGCATCCCTGGTTACCTGGTAACCAGGGACGCTGATCTCTCTGCAAGTGGCCGGAGCCAGCCGTGAGATGGCTGGCTCCGCCCAGCTGTCGGAAAACAGGCTGTCGGCCGGCTTCGGCTTTCACCTTGGCTCAGTCGAGACGAGGCATATGCCTTTGGCTAGACTGAGCCGCTCGGCCAACTTCGGGAGCTATACGGGCTATAGTGAATAGCCCATACAGCGGCCCTTCGGTTCTATTGAACCGAAGGGGTCCTGGGGCCAAAGCTAGCCGAAGGATCAGCCAAAGCTACGGCTAGATCCTTCGGCAGCTTAGTGAATAGACCCCTGTATGTTTGGAGGACCGGATGTGTTACCCTAGGCTGCTCTCTTGATTTGGACTACAAACAGCTCCCTCTCTCCTGTCCTTAATAGCATACGGTGATATTAGTGATATCACATTTGCTGGCTGATAGGAAGGGCAGGACTTACAGTGGTCATGCAGTTTCTTGATGAAATGTTTTTGATTATAGAGCATACTATGATTTAGTGCTCTTGTCGTGTTGTCCAAATAAACAAATTACATGTGCAGAGCAGCAAATAGTAACACCATGCTTCAGCTTTGTTGGTTATGTTCCACATACAGTATTTACAGAATCTTAGTAATTATAATGCTTTCCTTGCTTTGCTTTACTTTTTAAAACATGCCAGCCTGTATAGGTCTGGGCCCTATGTTCACATGCCACAGCTCTGTATCTCACCATTAATACACTCACCCCTAGCATCAAATTGGGACATAGGAAGGCTCAGTTTGTGTTATGCTACATTGTAGTGAATATTTGGCAACATGGTGAAAAAGCTGTTTTCCTGTATCCTAGGTAGGGGCTAGAAGTGGATATCAAGGACGAGATACAAAACCAACACAAAACCAATACTGGCAGCCTGGTTCTACCATGGCTTGGTCCAAAACAAAGATAATTCATTGTGATTAACAAGCTGATCCAGATGTTTTAGGTTAGTCATGCTTTTTACAGTGCAAAACTACTAAAAGAAAAATGAAAACATTATGTGCATGACTGAATTCCACAGTTTGTACCTGAAGTGCTAAATCAAAAGAAGACCACCGACGAGATCAACAAAAACAAATAAACCAACCAATTTAAAAATAACACCACAACGCAAAGACATCAAATATAGTGTTAAACAAGAAAGTAAATGCAATGCTTGTATACAGCTTTGATAGAAATTGTGAACCCCTATTTCCAAACAAACCGAATCAAAACTTCACCTATTAAACCATATCCATAAATCACATGAATCATTACAGATGTGCATGAGAGAGTGCCATTATTCAAGGCAATTCAGACTGTGCAGTTTAAAGAACTGGGTTTTTTTTTCGAATGAAAAAACAGAATCCATCTAACAAATTGTGTAACAGATTTAAATGTATAGATTTACTAAAAGAGTAGTGAATGTTTGTTAGGCAATGTTAATGTTTTCTAATACTCACTCATCTAGAATTGAAGAAAAAGATTTTGCCTTTTACATATTTGGATGATTAGATATTAAAATCACTCTTTTGTTTTTAAATAGTCCCCCAGCAACTGAAAAATATGCAGCGCTGTCCTCTACAGACTCATCCTCTCTGTGATCCGCCACCAGTTCATTTACTTACTCAACCAACTTCCTGTGAGTGCAGGGTGTCATAAGCATTACCAGGTAACCAGGGTCGCCATCTGTCATTACACACTGAGAACCCGGAGAGGCTGTTGTGATATCATAGCGGCCCCACCGGGTTCTCAGTGTGTAATGACAGATGGCATCCCTGGTTACCTGGTAACCAGGGACGCTGATCTCTCTGCAAGTGGCCGGAGCCAGCCGTGAGATGGCTGGCTCCGCCCAGCTGTCGGAAAACAGGCTGTCGGCCGGCTTCGGCTTTCACCTTGGCTCAGTCGAGACGAGGCATATGCCTTTGGCTAGACTGAGCCGCTCGGCCAACTTCGGGAGCTGTACGGGCTATAGTGAATAGCCCATACAGCGGCCCTTCGGTTCTATTGAACCGAAGGGGTCCTGGGGCCAAAGCTAGCCGAAGGATCAGCCAAAGCTACGGCTAGATCCTTCGGCAGCTTAGTGAATAGACCCCTGTATGTTTGGAGGACCGGATGTGTTACCCTAGGCTGCTCTCTTGATTTGGACTACAAACAGCTCCCTCTCTCCTGTCCTTAATAGCATACGGTGATATTAGTGATAAAGTGATATTTTTTGTAGCCCACAAAGAGAAATGGGAATTATGCTAAATGTTAACAGTGCAACACAGGCAGAGTGCACAGGAAGTCATCAGCTCGGTAGATTTTTGTCAGGGGCCTTAGTTTTTCTTTCAGTTGCTGAACAGATATAACAAAATGCTTTTACAATGGGCATCACAGGCACGTGCATTCCCACACAATGGGACTTTATTTCCCACATTTGGCGTGTGTCCCAATTGATCCTTATTGGGTCCCTGGACACGCACCAACCATGGAAAAAAGTACATGATGCAAATTGGGTGACATACTTTCTGCGTTTTGTTTTGCACGCATTCTCATGCTTGGCCATGTTTGAGGTGCCATTACCTAGTAATGGCAACGCAAGCACGTTCTGCGCTCGTGCATGTATCGTGAATGCCCATTGCAGCGTTAATGTTTGTGCGCGCTTGATGTGTGTTTCCAATAAACCCTGGTGTGAACGGGGCCTGCAAAGCTGGCCATATAGGCTTAAGTCCCACAGGCTGAACAAGAGAAATCTATCCAATCTCACATCCATGTTAAACACTCTGGTTGGATGAATACCTGCTTCTGGCTATTGTATTCAGCAATAACTGCTTCAGCAGCTGTTCAGCCAAAACAGGGGAGGTGGCAGAGCCATCCATGGCTCAAATTTGGGTCGGTTCCTGATGAAATGACAAAATTCAATCTGTGTGTGACCAGTTTAAGAGTATATTGACAGACCATAATGAAGCAAATAAGAGAAGTTTATTGTTAGGGTTTATATATACTTTAGGATACATAGCAAACTGTACTATATAATATATGTCAGTGCGGTATAGTGACCTTTAAATTAACATTTGTTATTATCATATGAGTCAGTTTATATTTGAGGATTAATGATCTACTAAGTTCAGAGATACTATTCTTATGACATATACAGTATATTTGATGAATTATTTCAAAACAATGTTTAAACATGAAACGTCTAACAAAGAAATACTGATTCATCTACAAATACATTAAATGTTGGTGCCCCTGTTTTGATATCTTGAAAAGAATTCTAAAACTTTACAGAATGCAAATACGAGCCTATTCCACTCTATGCTATTTGTATTAGCAGCTTGTAAAGTACAAGCCAAACACAAGGATAGGAGAGAAATGTTAATTAAACACACACAGAGTATTTACAAGGATCAGATCTCATATAGATTATTTACTCTTATCAGTAACTCTGTTTGACATTGACTCATAGAAGGTATTCTCCAGTGATGTTACTATCAATGTTTGTTATTCTGGTCTGTGATCCAGTTTATTAATGGCACGTCATATTACTACAATATATACGTTAATTGGTAGCACTAGATCAGCTTAATGTGATTATGTTATATTTATATTTAGGAATTGGTGTGAGCAGCTTAGCTATTTCTGTGAAGCATTTGTGTAAATAAAATAAACTGTGTAAAAGTCAAGTTGTAAATTGGCCATGAACAAGCAAGGATACCATATACGGTTCTTACTTAAAGACTGACAGTCTATAAAACTTTCTTACAAGATACCTCTATAAAAAGATATACAAAGAGAAATATGTTGCACAACAGGTCTACTGTCATTCACAGCTAAAATCAACATTTCTGTTCTTTTCTCAATGCTGCCTAATAAAAATGTTTAACATAAATCTACCTAGTTAAAAACTGTCTCTAAAGGTAGGGGTGAGACTGTTCAGTGCAAACATTTCCATTAATTATTGCTGATAAAACAAAGATGAATGACAGGTTATAATGAGGAGATTGCCTAACATTTACTGAACATTGGGCTTGAATGTTGAGAGAAGGAAAGATAACTTAAAGCTTTTCAAATAATCAGATCCTGGTATGGTCAGCAGATGTTCTGTTGCTACTCAGGAGTTGATGTACTAAAGGCAAATAGGCTATTCACTTTTCAAGGGAACTTGCACTTTGCAGGGGAAGTTTCCCCTTAGCTTAGTGAATGGGGTGAAGTTCTGCTGATTTCCAACATCTAATCATGTGCAAGCAAAAAAATGTTTTTCTTATTTTCCTTACACATGATCGGGTATTCTTTGCAAAGTGAAATTTCACTACATTGCAAATTCCCTTGCAAAGTGAACAGCCTATTTGCCTTTATAAGTCAACCCTATAGAGTGAAGGCAAATTCAGACACCTTTACCTGTTCTCTGTCATCTTATTGGTTGCACTAGATCTGACCCCCCAGTAGCAACTTTACATCAGAGCACTAATGAGGTTTCACAAATACTTTATTAAGGCATTTTCAGTAGCTATTCCTTTATGAAATATATGTTTAAAGATGAACTCTTAATTTAATTGTGTCCCTCTAAAGTCACAAAAGATAAGAAGCCACTTTGTGTGCACCACATGCCTTTGAAGGCCCAGTTATTACCTAGCAAAAGTAGCAGTGGCATTATCACTGTGCTGTACATAGCCAGTTCAGAAAGCAGAGCTGTGGGAGGGGCCCAGCTGGCTCCACCCACTACATGCAGAAAACTACAGAAGGGGGTAGGTACAAGACCAGTCACCCTACACAAAGAGAGAAAGAGAGCAGCAGTGACTGGTCTTGATAACAGAAAGTTCCTGACAAAGGAAAAGATCTACAGCAGATTTCTGCACAAATATGGAATAAATACACAAGGTTCAAGTGATAACGCTGTGTCTGCACAAGTGCCACATGTAATGTTTTATAAGTGTGGAGAAAAAGGGATTGATTTACTAAAGGCAAAAAGGCTGTTCACTTAGCAAGGGAATTTGCACTTTGAAGGGGAAGTTTCCCGTAGGTTAGTGAATGTGGTGTAAATTCACTTTGTAAAACATACTCAATTATGTGCAAGGCCAATATTATTATTATTATTATACAGGAGTTATATAGCGCCAACAGTTTGGACAGTGCTTTACAATATAAGGAAGACATTACAATCACAATACAATTCAAAACAAGATGGCAAGGAGGGCATAAAACAGCATATTTTTTTGAACATGATTCAGTCAGTAGAGCTTCCCCTAATTCACTGAACTAAGGGAAAACTTCCCCTGCTAAGTGCAAATGTCCTTGCAAAGTGAACAGCCTATTTGCCTTTAGTAAATCCACCCAAAACTCACAGCAGCATTGTTTACAAAGAGCTTCTATATCCCTTAAATATGTAGCTGCTTACATAATATCTGATGTAAGTCTGATGATGACAATGTTATTGTCAAACTACACACTAAGTGCTGGCTGCCCAGTAGTGTGGTCACAGTCTAAACCGCATAACATAAAAGAGAAACATTGTGTCAATGTAACTGACTAAACATTTCCCTTGGAATTCATAAAGAATGTTGCAGACACTCTTTAGAATCGTGTCACATTTCTGCATGACAAATGTTAATTCCTGTTACAAATTCATGTACCTGTTGGAACCAGTAGCATGCATTTTATACAAATAGGCATGGTGAAGGACAGCACTGAGCCAGGAGTGTTTATACCATGGAAATTCCATTCTCAATGCACCTTCAGCCCCTGAGTTGCACACTGCTTGCTATGACACTGTTGGCTGCACAGTGTTCTTGGTTGCTATGATGCTGTCAACTGCACAGTGTCATTGGTTGTCATAGCAACCAAGGATGCTGTGTGCCGACATCATTCTAGCAACCAATGATGCTGTGGGCCAACAGCGTCCTAGCAACCAGTGACAGTGGAAGAAGTTGGGGGGTTATTATGCACGGCTTACTCAAAAGTAACATTGGTCTTTATTGTCTCCAGTTTACTTAACTTCAATATGGTGGTATTTGTTAATTCATTTGTTGCAGCCACAGCGACATATTTGAAAAGTATCGCGAATAAGAACTATGTGAATTTGTTGCATGTATCGCTATTAACTATGGAACTGTCACAAACATTTTGAATTGGGAGCAGGAGTTCTATATACAACCATAAAACAAGACTTGAGTCTTAAAGCTTTTATTGAATCGCCCTCATCATGTGCTGTATATCACAAAGCAGAAGCAGCACAATATGTATCATTAGACATAAAGCAAGACTGTGTGCCTGTCTGGGATGGTTTGATGGGCATCATGTGTGAAAAAAAAAAAAATACAAAAAGTGGGAAAATGCAGACAACAAAATGAAGCTGTTGCTCAGTGCAATCAATCAGTAAATATGTCTTCAGTTACACGTCCACTCTTACTTCTATCTGTGTTTATACATGAGAGTCATTATATATTAAAGGAAGTGGTGTGGCCCTACATGAACCATAAGTTCCATGCAGGCATATGAAAAACATAAAAATATGTTCACTCACCTATACATTTTGGGCAACATTGTCCAGTAGGAACATGACTGAGATGCTGGGGGCATGACAGAATAGGGCAGACCTCCTTTATGCACTGTATCCTGCCTCCCTAAAGGAAAATAGGTGAGATTAGAAAAATAAATATTGTACGCCTAACTGATTGTCTAACCTAGCAACAAGCCGTTAGCTGCAAAAATCTAACAACATGGCTACCCTCCCATAAACATACACAGAAATTATATTTCTTCATTTTAAGTGATAGCCTATAAAACCAAATCCAATCTGCTTTTACTTATCTGTGTCCAAATAACCTGGTGGCCTCTGCCAGTAACTATTATATATATTATTATTACATAAACATTACCCTGAAATTTCCACAAAATTTTTATTACTGGGATTACAGTCTTGGAGTCACAGTCAACATATTGTGATACGTTAGGGTTTTTAATGTTGTAGCAACATATAAATCCTATGTTGATTAGGCAATGTGAGAATATATTACTGTAGTGTTTAAGGCAATTAAAGAAAATGAAGTCAAATATTTGGAAATTAAATTCATAAGTTCATATTGGCATAAAAATATAGATGATTACTATGCAAAATAATTTCATCCCCCTTTTAATAACAGCTTTAATATTAATATGTTTTAACACACTACTTCATTTGTGTATACAAATGTTTCTTTTTGAGCCAAATCCCAATGACAGGATGAATGGAAGCCTTTGGTATTGCATGTAGGGCACACTAAACTATATGGGAATTATAGCAAGCACTGAACAAGCCTCTGTGGACAGACTGAACACTAAATGGATGGCAATATGGCACATTAAGGGATATGTATCAAGCAAATCAGCGACAAGATTAGATGCAAATTAGGCTGCCTGTCAAATAAGAAAGCCTATGTGACAGGTTTTATGTGTATTTACAATCCCCGCGCCTGCAACCCTAGGCAGAAAATGTAGACAGTTTTGCACAGATATGAGAGAATTACTGGAGATTTTCATCAAAATAAGACAGATTATCACTTAAAACACACGTACAATTAAAGTGACACTAAACTCAGGAGTTAAATCTTAAAAATGCATTCAAGTATCTTATCTATTGACTAAAATGTATCTTATTTGTGCATCACTCAGCTGTAGATCCTCAAATCATCTCTAAATTCATGCTGACACTATCCTTCCTTCTGGAGGGTGGCTACTTTTGTTCCCCATGGTCCCTGTGTGTGTTGTAAAGTAGCCACCACTCCAAGCTCGATCCCGTGATGGACTATAATCTCAATACAAATTAGTAAACTAAATGTGAGATTGTAGTCCATCACGGGAGTGCGTTTGGAGTGGTGGCTACTTTACAACACACACAGGGACCATGGGGAACAAAAGTAGCCACCCTCCAGAAGGAAGGATAGTGTCAGCATGAATTTAGAGATGATTTGAGGATCTACAGCTGAGTGATAGACAAATAGGCTACATTTTTGTTAATAGTTAAAATACTTGAATGCAAAATGTAACTAATGAGTTTAATCTCACTTTAAGTGGTCAGGGGCATGTTTTATTCTGTCCCAGTGCTACTTTATAGTAACTCTTAAATGAAATGCAGAACCGAAGCTGCCTAACTGTAAAAAATCTGTTGTATAACAGAATTGATGTATACCCCCTTCTACTGCCTTATCTAGCAATAGTTAGGCTGGTCATACACAGAGTAAATTTCAGCCAGTTCTTGATGAACCTACTGAAATTCACTATGTAGGTGGCCCTGCCGGCAGCCTCCTGCCAACATTGTTTGATCTGAAAATTGAAGGGGCAGGGCCGAAAACTGTTGGCTTAACAGTGACTGCAAAATTTTTCAACCAAACAGGCAAAATCACTATTAAAGCCTCTACCTGGCTGCTCACCACAAAAACGGGGGGGGGCTTATCCCCGCTGAAAGGGGATTCACCCAAAGCGAGAGCACCAATTTAAGATCAAAATCTTTCATTTGAATGTCTGATGACAATGAGAATTCAAATAAAAGCAATTAATTTTGGAGGTCAAAAACATCCCTCCTTATCAGGGCTTAAAGAAGGCAAGACTGTGGAACGACTCAGACAGCAGAATGTAGCTGAAATAGACTTGACAGCCATTTAGTATTGCATTGCCGATGAAAAAGGCAACGAGATTTCATTGGTAAAGTAATACTAAGTGGCTGTCCAGTCTATTTCGGCACAATTTTGCTTTCTACTGTTCCACAGTCTTGCCCTCTTTAAGCCCCAATGAAAGGGGGGTGTTCTGGCCCCCAAAACACATTGGCTGTATTTGTATTCTGGTTGTCATCAGATGATTATTAAAGTCTTTGGACTCCTATCATGTGATTTGGTGCCCTCATTTGAACTAACTACATGCAGAATACAAAGACCCAGCAGGGAAGTGTGGATGGAGATATCTGATTTTTTTTATTCTGCCAGCAGGATAAACAAAAATACATTTACTAGTTTATTGCTAACTTTAGTCAAAATCAACTAGGCTTTCTGATTGTATGCTGCTCATAGCAACATATCACTTATCATGTTAGTCATGCTTTTGAGCAAGTACAAATTTTGTATTTAGCATAAGCCTACAGATTTACTTGCTGCAAAAAAAAAGAAATCTGAAATGGCTTGATGTAAAAACAGGTAATCTTTTTTTATCTTCTGCAGATTATTATTATTATTATTATTATTGTTATAGAGGATTTGTTCCAACAGTTTGTGAGGTGTTTTACAATATAAGGAAGATATTACAGTTACATACATTACATTACATTACAATACAATACAATACAAAACATGTTAAAACAGCAGGGTTAGGAGGGCCCGGGCCAAGAGAGTTTACAATCTATAAAAAAGAGACAATTGGTACAAGAGGTGGTAGCTCTGTGGGAATGAGTTGTTTGTGAAAGCAAAAGTTCAGTGATTAGGTGGGAGGTGGGATAGGCTTCCCTGAAGAAATTAGTTTTCAGGGATCTCCTAAAGGCAGACAAAGAATAAGATAGCTGGGCAGGTTGGTTTAGGATGTTCCAGAGCATGGGAGACACTCAAGAGAAGTCCTGGAGGCAAGCATGGGAAGGGTTTAAGAGAGGGAGGTAGAGAGCAGGGAGGGAGGATGGTTATGGTTAAAGTGCAAACTAAGTTGTGTGCAGAAAGTGCTAAATACACATTTAAAAAATAAACCCAAAAGAACTCAACTGTAGCATAAAAAGGACAATTGACAGCTGTTCAATTTAGAAAGGTTTAATAAACAATAATTATCTGATGATTTCAAGGTCATTTCAAGGTCCTGGAGTGGCCTAGCCAGTCTCCAGATCTCAACCCCATAGAAAACCCCATTTGGAGGGAGTTGAAAGTCCGTGTTGCCCAGCGACAGCCCGAAAACATCACTGCCCTAGAGGAGATCTGCATGGAGGAATGGGCCAACATACCAGCAACAGTGTGTGCCAACCTTGTGAAGACGTACAGGACACGTTTGACCTCTGTCATTGCCAACAAAGGATATATAACAAAGTATTGAGATGACCTTTTGATAATGACCAAACAAATACTTATTTTCCACCATAATTTGCAAATAAATGTGTTCCAAATCAGCCAATGTGATTTGTCTGGATTTGTTTTCTCATTTTGTCTCTCATAGTTGAGGTCTACCTATGATGCCAATTACTGGCCTCTCTCATCTTTTTAAGTGGGAGAACTTGCACAATTGGTGGCTGACTAAATACTTTTTTGCCCAACTGTAATTAATTGAGAAACATTAAATAATTTTTTTTCTCTCTTTAAAACCAGCTGTCCTTTTGCAAAGAAAGTTGGACTGAAGTTTAATCACACATTACACTGTTGTAGTGTGTGGTATGACATCATAAAAAATTCTATACTGACTTGTATGTTAACAAAAGTCTAGAATGGATAATGAGAAACACATGACAAGTTTCTAAATGTCACTAATTTAGAAGAGTTTGAACCTCAACCAAGGCTAGCAGTACTTCCACAACTACCTAAATGTAATACATGAAGTTTCGGCAAAGCCCTCATAAAGCTGTCATGAAACAACACTGAACTTTCATTGAAATGGTGAAAAATGAGGTGCGAAACTTGAAGGCAAAGTTGAGAAAGACCAGATGTTGATGGATCTAAGAGTTAATAATCAGAACCCTCTAGTCATTAGAACTTCTCTAAGAGCAGCAGCAAAGCACTTATCTTAATTAACACACTGACTGCTTTGTACAGCTACAGAAAGCACTTATGTATGTCTTGAATGAAACATAATTGTTATTAATGGGATATGACAGCTATCTTCCCAAGATGGGACACATCTGTGATGCTTAACTAAGGGCTGACCTGAAACAAATTAAGATGACACCTACAAACTTTATTACAATAAACACTAGTGCTATTGGGAATAGCTTAGTCTAAATAAGGCGGACTCTTGTTTATGCATCAGAGAATGCTATGTCCTCTATAAACATGATAGGTTTAAAAGAAAAGGCAGGGCTAGGGATAGTCTCCATTCAGTCTATGAACAAATAAACTTAGTCAAGGGCATGAGAAACAATGTTTGTCATGTATTCCATAGTTATTATGGATAGCTGTAATCTATTATAATAACTATGAAGTAATGACTTTTGGGTGAATAGTAGGCTCATTCAGTGTTTGTTAGTAAAAGAACAGATCTAGCTTCTCAGATGAATTCATGAAGGCCAAACACAAAATAGTTAGTAGTTGTTATCATGTAGCACTGTAAGATCAACATAGTGCATGGGCCAGGGAGCATATGAGTACAAAGGTTAACATAGCTCACCCATTTACTAGTACATGAATAAATCAACTACACTAGCAATCCTTATTGTGACATTTATGTACATGTTATCCCTAGAAATGAAAACATACCAAGCTTTTTCTATTGTGTTTTCACTTCCTAAGGTATGTATTGCATTGATTTTCAAAGTGTTTCTAACTTTGTAAATGTACATATATTTAGCAGTATGTTACATAAACATGTTTGCTTTCAAGCGTTTTGTTAAACTTTACTTTTGAAAAGCAATATACAGTATAAGTATTTTTTATGTAACATTATTTTTCAGCACTGGTACATCCTGGCATGG